GGTGTGCATGTGCGTGTGAGTGGAGGGATGTGTGTGTGTCTGGAGGGGGGGGTGTGCACGGAGGGGTGTGTCTGTGTGTGCACATGCATAGGTCTATGTGCATGGAGAGATGTGTGTGTGCCTGAAGGGGTGTGTGTGCATTTGTGTGAATGTGTGTGTGCACGGAGGGATGTGTCTGTGCCTAGAGGGTGTGTGCATGGAGAGATGTGTGTGTGCCTGAAGGGGTGTGTGTGCATGTGTGAATGTGTGTGTGCCTGGAGGGATGTGCCTGTGCCTGGAGGGGCGTGTGTGTGCGAATGCGTGCATGGAGGGTGTGAGCTTGCACGTGTGTCGACACTGGAGCCAAAGGAAGCAGGCTGTAGTCTCCATACGATGGGGAGTCTGCGAAGGAAGCGATGCTGAGAGTTTCCATTTATATCCGAGCTGGTGGAAAGTTGCAGCCGCAGCAGAGCTGTGTGGAAGTGGCAGGGTGTTCACGGCCATCTGCCCACCTCACGCGTGCTAGTCCAGTGCGGGCCAAGCTTCTCGGTCGGCGGGCTGCAAACAAGTCCTGCAGGGTTTGCCAGTGACAGGAAGAGAGCGGCTCCGGCCTGAGTGTGCCAGGGGGTGTGCACTGTCACCACCATGCACACTCACGTGTGAGCAAATGCCCCTGCCATGGTTACATCTAGGTTCAGGTTCTTAGCCGGCGGCTATCACCATCCGATACCTCTTCGTAAAACTACAACCAACCCTAACAACACCAGGCATCACACCCGAACCTGCCACTGCGGCAGCCAGCCTCCTGCTTCCGGAAACGGTTAATATTTGCTCGGAAGACCCCAGGTAGAGGGCCATGCCCCTACTGACAGAGGAAGCCGATGGCCCCAGAGCTCAGGGTTTCGTTGTGAGGGGGTGGCATCCCATTCAGCTCCCTGCAGCTGCATCCATTGTCTTGTGCCAGTGGTGAGTTGACCTCCCTAGGACGGGGAGGAAATTTGCATCTGCCCCATACAGCAGGGTTTCACACCTCCTCTCTGGAAATGCATCCTCTGGGCATGGGAGCCCTACAACTGGGACACATGCAAAGCTCAGTGGGTGCGTGATCCCCGTCCCCAGGCCCAGCTGCAGCATGCCAGCCTTGGCGCCCACCCGGCTGTGCCCGCGGGGAGGTGAGAATCCAGGGCACGAGGCAGGCCTGAAGCAGCTGATGCAGCAGGAAGGCTTGGCAGTGGCTTTGGAGAGGGCTGGCTGATGGTGGAACTGGAGACAAGCTGGCCCAGCTGACAGTGGGACTGGAGACAAGCTGGCAGAGCTCTGTGGCTTATGGGACAAGAGTGACCACGCGGGTCTGTCTGCCTGGGATTATTAATGGCTTTACGCACTTTGCTGGCAGCCTGCTGGCTCTAGTATCTGCCATGTGTGTCACGGTGGCACTGCCAGGCCCAGGGTGGTATTTGTGCAGTGCAGTGAGCAGGGGTGTGAGGGTCTGGCCCTTAGCAAAGAGCAGATAGATGCATGCTCCAGTGGCTGGGGAGGGTGTGGGGGAGCCACCCGGCACAGCCCAGCCCTGGCTGCTGGCACACGGCTTTGGGCTCCCTCCTAGATAATGTGCCAGTGAGTGGCATCCCCTGAGTGCAGCTCCCTGGGGGCTGGGGCCAGGTGTTCCCATGCCCTTGCTGCCGTGCTCCTCCGTGCCACAACCATGCAGCTCAAGACTGGGGCTTCGAGATAGTTATGCCGGTAAACAAGGCCTCGGTGCACATCTGCACTGTGGGACTCCATCCTTGGAGGTGTTTAAGACCCAGGTAGACAAAGCTTTAGCTGGGATGATGTAGCTGGGGCTGGTCCTGCTTGGAGCAGGGGGTTGCACTGGATGTGCCCTCTGGAGGTCCGCTTTCAACCCTCATTTTCGATGATTCCCTGACTCTCCGCCGCCAGCTTGTGCTGCATTTGGCTGAGGCTAGGGGGTGGGAGAGGAAACTCTCAACTCAGGGCAGCTTTCCCGGGTCGGCTCCTTCTGTCTCCTTGCCTCCGGCGAGCTGGGAGGGCTCGCGCTGCGCAGCTCGGCCTTTTTCTTTGCTGGTCGGCTTAAGGGGCTGAAGTGCTACTTAAAATATCCTGGAAAGATCCCAAGCAGCGCAGAAGTCAAGAAAATGAGAAACACATGAAGCGAACGGGAGTTACCGCCAGGTGCGCTCAGAAGAGCGGGGATCGGTGTGGGGCAGACCTGCCAGCCCCAGGCAGCAGCTTCTGGAGGCTGATCCTCCTAAAGGTGCACGTATCGGAGGTCACCCGTCTCGGCCCGCCGGTGCTGCCAGGCCCTGCTTGGCCGTGCAGGCTGGGAGGGGAGCGAGGTTCAAGGGGAGGCAGAGAATCGATGAGTTGCACGCGTGAACCCTTGGTGGGGTCCAGCTTTAGCCTGCAAGACTCTCCGAGGAGTCCCCCAACCTGCAACGCCTCACTGGAGCTGCCAGGTGGGGCAGGCCCCTTGCCCAGCAGCCGGTGCCCATGGCTGAGAAGCAGACAACAAATCGCTGTGCCCTGCAGCTGCCAGGCTTGCCTGTCTCACCCCAAGTGCTGTCTGCAGCACCCGGGATCTCCACCAGCTTCCTCCGTGGATCCAGCCGGGCTGTTTGCATCTCCAGCCTCCCATGGCTGCCACGCTCTGCAATTACTAGCGCTGGCTCTGCCGTGGCTGTCACTGCTCCTAAGGCTAAGCAGGGAGGAGGGTCAGTGTTCATTGCACCTTGCTTACTTCTGCGTCCCCCAATGCTGCATGTGTGTGGGCAGGGAGGAATGGCCCCTGCCCTCACCTGAGCACTCGTGGAGTCTCCGGCTCAAACGGGCCCGTCCTGCTGCATCTCTTTTGCTAGGCTGGGGGGGATGGGGGCTTTTCTGGGCTGCTGGAGGGTGCAGTGTGGTGTGCACTGGCTTAGTGGTGGCTGGTGCCTGTCCCTGACGGGCGTGGGAGCCAGCTCAGCGAGGGTGAGGCCATCCTTTTGTTCGACCGGGTTTCCAGAACAGCTGCCCAGTTTGGCTGGAAACCCCTTGTTGCAGGGACCCGTGCGCAGGAATCCCAGCTCCGGCGGCTTCAGTGCCGCTCTGGGCCAGGGACCAGGAGCGGAGCCCAGCTGCTGGCCAGACAGACTGTGCAGCGAGCTACCGCCATCCGCTCGGCCGTAAACTTTTTACTACCATTCTTTGTTTCTGAGGCTTCCTCTCCCTCGGTGCGTGGAGTCACGGGAGCTTCAGCAAAGCCGCTCAGAGGAAATGGCTCACACGGAGAAAATGCGGGCTGTACCGTTCCACATCCTTTTGTACATCGCTCGTGGCTTCTGCGCTGGCCTGGCCTGGCTTCTGCTGGGTGCGGGAGCTGGCCGCTGGCGTGCCTCCAGTTGCAATTGTGGGAGGATGCGCGGGTGCTTTTCCAGGAAGCCAGGGGGTGAGTGTGGTTGAATCACCGCTCCCCCCGGCTGCCGGATGGGTCAAGAGGTGCGTGGCTTTCCTATGGGATGCTGCCATCTTGTGTCACTTTGCAACAAGGCCCCTCAATGAGATGGGCCCTGTCCAGCTGGGCTCTCTTTGGGTGCTGCCCGGCCGTGTTCAGCTTGCAGGAGAGTTCACGGGCCCACCTTAATCACGGCTGATCGCAGCTAAGGGGAAGGTGGCAGGACTTCGGAGGCAGCGCCGAGCTGGCCTGCGTCCGGATCTGAGCAGCGCGGCTGAAACCGAGGAGCTGCAACCTGAAACCGTTTGATAAATTCCTTTCTGATACAGTCACTGCCAGCACAGCACACGGCTCGGCCGAAATCCCCACCCAGGCGAAGGAGAGGTGTTCAGGAAGGACATCGGCTCCCTGGGGCTTGCCTTTGCTGGGGTCTTGTTGGGCATCGGTGGCAGGAGCGAAGGGCCCGGGACTGTTCCCTCTCCTCCAAGGAGATGAGGCCGTGGGGAAGCTGGGATGCATGCAGCCGGCTCTTCAGGCCTCGACAGGCTGCCATGCCCATGTGTTTGGCTTACACATAACGCCCCCGATCCAGGCACGTGGGAGACATCCAGGCGCTCCCTCTGGCCTCCGGAGATGCTGAGTTGATAGCAAAAGCACTTTCCCCCTCTCCTCCTCTTGCAGTCAGATGCTAGCTCCCGGCAGCTCACTGGTATCACAGAGACGAGAAAACGGGTGGAGGAAACTTTTACCCATTGCCCGGATCAGACCTTTCTCAGTCTGGAAAAGGCTCAGATAATTGTTGTAGTAACTGAGGGCCCCAATCCCAACTTTTGGTTACCTGTGGGCAAATGGGGACATGCCACGGGAATGTGTAAGAGCCGTTTTTGCAGGAGTTTGGACTTCAAAGGAGCTGGGGGTGGAGACGCTGGAAAGCACCCCTGAAATGCTGCTTTGGTTCTGGTGCCCATTGCCTCTCCAAGCCAACACAACGTGGAAAAGCCTCCCAGCCCCTTTGCTTCTCCGCACCAGCCCTGCTCGGCATCTGTCGCTACCATGGGCCTTCGTACGCGGGAAGGAGGTTCCTGTTGTCTAGGGAGCAGCACACACCTGGCATAGAGACTTCCCTCCTGCAGCAGGCTGGAGGGCAAAGTCCTGGTTGAGCGTCACGCTGGTTGTAATGCTGTCAAGCAAGTTTATCTGCATCCTAGCAGTACCCCCAGCTTTAAAGGATGCCTTCAGCTTCCCCACATTGCACAGATGCAATTCCATCATCTTCCACTTGCCCTCCATGTACTGTCCCTGAAGGGCAACCCCAGCGTGTCCTGGAGAAGCACGTTTCATCCCAAAAGCACAAGGAGGGTGGAGGGCATATAGAGCTCGTGGGAAATCACAGGGGTCGGGACAGGGATTCAGTGTTTGGATTTTTTTCTGTAACCCTTGAGCAAAAAGGGGGTGTGTGTGTGAGAGAGTGGGTCGAGAAGTAAGTGAGCAGAGAGAAATGGGTCTGTATCTCCTTTGGGCTCCTTGTTGCCTCCTGGGTGACACCACTCTCCCCGTCTTGTCCTTGCAGATCTCTCCCGGAGCGCCAGCCTCTCGGAGAAGGAGCTGAAGGAGGCCAAAGCCCGGAGCCAGAGGATCGCAGCCCAGCTCACCACCCCGCCCTGCTCCAACTCCAAAGGCGTGCTGCTCTTCCACCGGCGCAAGCAGCGGGTAAACGAGTTCACCTCCGAAAGCCTCGGCAGCAGCAGGCAGCAAGCGGCTGTGCGAGACGGGCCCCGGGCCCTGCCGTGCGGGACCCCGCACCATGGGACAGAGCTGAGCTTGAGCCGGCCGGCAGAAGGCAGCCGTGAGCTGGGAGGGTCACGCCGCGCCAAGTATCCTGGGCTGCCGGCACGCAGAGACACAATGGAGGCCTACGAGGACAACGCTCCTTTAGAAAAACCACGGTCCTCTCCTGGGAATGGGGAGGAGATGCCCTCTCAGGCCAGCACGCTGCCATCCCTCGAGGGGTCTCCCGGCGAGGATGTTCCCCTGGTCCCTCTAAGCGTCTACTTAAAGGAGACCACAGAGATGGCAGCCACCAATGGGGTGCACGAACCTGACGGTGGCCAGCATGCACCAGCGACCGTCCACGAGAAGAGCACGCCGGATGGCCGCAAAGAAATGGCACAGAGCCCGGCGGTTCTTGCGGAGATGCACAATGCACCCGTCGTCGACAAGGAGAAGAACGGAGAGGTTCTCGGCACTGAGCCGCCCATGCCGGCGCCCGAGAAAGAGGACGCCGTGCCTGCTGCCAGCCAAGAGACAATGGTCCCGGGGGTCAGCAAGGAGCAGAACGGGGCGCCCAAAAGGCAGTACTGCGAGGTGCACCTCACCCTGGCCAAACCCAAGCCGGTGAAGAACAGGACGGCCAGGCCCTTTGGGACGCAGTCCTCCGCTGTGCCAAGTCAACCGGCCGAGAAACCGCCCGTGGTGGACCTCCCTGAGCCGCCCACCTACACCGAGACCTTGTCCAGCCCTCCTCCAGTGACAAGAGTCTGGTCACCGCCGGCCTATTCAGCCTTGTATCCTAGCCCGGAGCAGAAGCCGCTCCTTATACAAAGCCCGAGGAGCGTGGAAAGCAAATCGGTACCCGTGCCTAAAATGGGGGTCCTGGAGGAGTCCATAACCCGGCGGGGGAATAAAAAATCCATGTTCACCTTTGTGGAGAAGCCCAAGCTGGGCCCCAACCCGGATCTGCTGAATTTAGTGCAGAACGCAGACAGCAGGAAGAAGCAGAAGGATCACGGAGAGCCAGCCCCGGAGGAAGAGCCCTTTGCCCTCGGGGCCGAAGCCTCCAACTTCTTGCATGAAAATGCACCCAAAGCCGGGCCTTACTTGGCCCCTGCTGACAATCCCCCAGCCTGGTCTTCATGCCTGAGGTCCCCAAGGATCCAGCCGAAACCTAAGATAAAGCCTACCCAAACCCTCACGGAAGCCAAGGGAAAAGGGGCTGAGCTGTTTGCCCGGAGGCAGTCGCGGATGGAGAAGTACGTCATTGAGTCCCCCACCCACCCTCACGCCGCCAGGTCGCCGTCGCCCACCATGTCGCTGCCTCCTTCGTGGAAGTACGACCCCAGCATGCCCGTGTCGCCCATGGTCTCCAGACACGCGGTCAAGAGTCCCTCCCGCCCTGCCAAGACGCCGCCGGCCTCCTTGTACAGCGGCTGCGTGACAGAGAGCGAGATTGCCCAGAGGGAGCTGGAGATCTCCAAGCAGCAGCCGTATCAGCTCCAGCCATCCTTGTTCATCCTTTCGCCCTCTAAAGACCCCCTGAGGTCTTTGCCGCGAGGGGCACCGCCGCCAAAACCCATGCCGCCTGACCCGCAGGCGTACACAAGACAAACCTCCTGCCCGACCGCTCCCTTGCCCCCCTCCCCTGTTCTGCACCCGCCAGCCCTGTCAACTTCGAGCAGACCCGCGTCCCGTCCTTTTTCTGCCACCACTGGGACTGTCCCCATGACCCAAGACATCAGAGCAAGTGCCGGAGCCCCCCGGGAAGTCCCTGTGGCTTCCCCATCCCGGGTGCTGTTGCCAGCAGCCAGAGGAGTCTTCCAAGCTCCTAGACCGTCGTACTCCACCCGGAGCGCAGGGATTGAAGCCCAGGTGTGGAAGCCTTCGTTTTACTTCAAGTAACGGCGTTAGCAGGGGGTGATCTAGGATTGTCCGACCCAGCCAAGATCACCTCTCCTTGGTGATTGATATGCGAAAAACTAAGCAAAGTGAAACAAAGCAGCAACGACCACGTAAATAGCTTGGAGGGTTTGAATGCCAATAGCGTGCTCTTGTGTAGCCAGGCCTCCGCTGTCCGCCGGGTGGAGCGCTCTCCGCCTGACAATGTTGTGCTCAGCCGGAGGAGTAGGGTCTGGACTGCATCCAGTGCAGGGCCCTGCTTTGGAAGTGAGATGCAGTGTAGTGTAAAGCCCCTGGAGGGGGAGCCGCGATGCTTGTGGTGCCGGGCTAGCCGGCCCCGGGTGCTCTTGCAGACCTGGCTCCGGAGGGAGAGGAAAGCGGCGTGTGGATGCAGCACGACACCGGGGTGTAACGATAACCCGAGCCAACACACGTGAAGATCGGTCGCGGAGGCAGCAGGGACTCTGATGCCTTCTCTTCTCTCTCACTTGGAAACTTTCTGGAGCTCCCAACTTCTGGCTCAACCTTTCTTCCTCACCTGAGTTTCCACCTCTGCTCTGCAAAGCGTTCTCCGCATCCTCTCCGCGCTCTGTGACTGCCGCGCGCCCGCATCCTTTCTGCTCCACTGACTTTCAAAGCCCCCCCGCACGCTACCAAAGAGCCTCTGGGATGGGGGCCTTGTCCTTCCCCTAATAGTCATCTCTGTCTCCTTTCTTTTTCTGCTGTTTCTGCCTCATTTTCTTCTGTGCTGTGGACTAGGTTACACCATCCAAAGTCAAGGGAGAGCTGCAGGCACAGGTGATGGCAACAGGGCTGTAGGGAAAGGAAGGGAACTTCCTAGCATCTACCCACGCTGGTGTTTGCCCAGAGTAGTGTTGGCTCCTCGTTCTTGGTGAGATTTAGGGGCTTGTGTCCTGGCTGGGGAGTGGGAAGGGAATCACTCACCCACTGCATACCCCCTTCCCAGGTCTTGGCCATCTTTGCCGGCAGGTTGGGTGGCTTTGCAGACTTGTGTTACTAGCCAGGTGGGATGGACTGGTGAGCGAACCTGCCTCCTCGATGAGGATGGCACAGCAGCCGTGGGGTGAGCCTGTGCCCACCGGCCCCAGGGACACAGAGCCGTAGTATTTGTTTGCAATGGGTCTCCCACACCTCAGCGAGGACCTGGGAGGCTTCAGATCTAGGGTGAAGGTGGCTGCCCCTGCTTCCCCTCAGCTGACCACCTTTTGGGGCAGTTGCCACCTGCCATTATAATGCACGCGTTTAGAGCAAGATATGCCAGCTTGGGTGCCTATGACCAGGAACCCAAATCCACACCAAGGTGTCTGCTTTAAATACAGGCTGTGCCCTGCCACCCAGTCCCAGCTGAGCCCCACTGGTTCCCATCAGTGGAGAGGGTGGAAGTGGGTGGGCAGAGCTGGTGTCATTGTGCCCTGTCGCAAACAGGAAAGTCATAGAAAAAGGTGGGGGGAAAAACCCCAACTCCAACTCCCCTCTGCATTTTCTGCAGAAAACATTCGTGTGGAAAAAAGAGAGTTGCACTGGAAGAAAAGAAAGTTCATTCCCACAGCTCAGGCAGGTCCTTTTTGACCCCTCACAGGGCTAAAAAGCCAGGCTTTTTGATTTCTGATATGCCGTTAGCTCAGGAGCAGAGACGGGGGCCTGGCCCTTGGCTTCAGGTCTGAAAACATCTCCGCTCACACGTGGACTACCACACTTCTCAGCTTCAGGTGCTAGGTTGCGGGGATCTCTCTTGCTGCTGGCGGGAGCTATTCACACTCAGCAGGAAAGCACCGTTGCAAGGTGTGTCAGGCTGGGCTGGCACTGGCTGGCTGCTAATAAACCATCCAGGGTAAGACAGAGGCCAAGGGCCGTCCCGTAAAAGCAGCAGGCTGAGGGAAAGACAGCCTGTGAAACGGCCCCCTTGCACTTCATAGCCCCTCGGTGCCCAGCTCCGTAAGGCTCAGCCAGGCTCGGTAAGGCAAGTTGCCCGTGAAACGGCTGCGTGTGGGTCCAGCCACCAGCTCGCCCGAAGGTGGCTGTCTGCTCTCTTTTGTGTCCCTGAGATCCGGCCAGCTCAGCTGCCTCCCCGTCCTGCCACTCTCAGCGCTCCTGGGGCCAGACAATGGCTGGCAGTAAATCAGTGTCGGGGACGCATGGCAGAAGGGGGCAAAGTGAGGATGTGCTGCCGCACACGGTAATTACCAGGCCTGCTTTGCTCGCCCTGTAATTGGGAACCACTGAGCCGAGAAAGGACATGTAGGAGCATGGGGCGGGATTGTGCTGCTGTCACGCAGGTGCCCCCGGCGGGAGCTTTGCAGGCCAGGGGCTGTGGGCATGCGCATAGGCAGAGTATGGACAGACGGCCGGGGTCTGGGCCCCATCCGGCTGTGTCCCCTGGGAGCTGGGCTGGGGATTTGTGAGAGGCACGGTGTGGAGGGGAGGATGCTCGTTCCCCTTTTGCCCCTCCATTGGGGTGAGGGCTTGATGGTGCTAGTGCAGGGAGCAAAGGGGGCAAGGGCATGATGCATGTGGGCTTCTCCATGACCCATTCTGCTCACAGCCTGGCTGGCAGGAGACATTAGGAGCCTGCTCTCCATGTCCTGAGGCCCCAGCCATGAGTGCAGGGGTCCTGGGACCTTCCCCTGAGGTGGGATGCAAGTCCCCACCGAGCTCAGGTTGCAGCCCCGCATGGGGGAGCTGGCCCCGAGGCTGGCTGGCCAGAGTGGTGCCCCAGAGATGCTTGCCAGCTAGACGGGGTGGCAGCACCTGGGCAGATCTCATTTCCTAGTTAGATCACGGCTCTAGTTGGGGATGCGTTGGCTGGCGGCTCTTCCTGGAGAGGGCCTGGGAGTGACCTGCGGGATATCCCAACACTCAGAGATCCCAGAGAGACGAAGCAGGTGGAGGGGAGGCTGGGGCTTTCCCTGCCTGGCCTGTGGATTGGAAACCTGATGGAAACAGCAGTAACCCCCGGCAGGAAGCAGGCAAAGGTCTCCTAGGCCACCTTTTCTGTGATGGTGCTGTAACTTCCCTGCTCCATAATACACTCCTCTGCCACTTCCACTCTGTCTCTGTGCTTTCCTCTCCGGGCTCCTCCAGCAGCACAAACAGGCCAGGCCGCATCCTTCCCGGTGCTGCGAGAGCAGCTTGCAGCCGGGGCCTGGTGTGGTGAGCGCTGTGCCCATGCAGAACGAAGCTGGTCTTTGCTCCAGGGGCTGACCTGCCCCTTCCCCCCTCCACCTGCCACCCCAGGCAGTAGGGCTGGGCGGGAGAGACTTTGAGATGGACTTTGCATGGCCTGGAAGGAGCCTACTCTGCTCCCCCGAAGGCCCTGGCAAGGGTTACCAAAACAGCACGAGTGTTGAGCCCATCTCCCAGCCACCACCATCCTATCTGTCTGTCTATCTATCTATCTCGTACACACCCACTCTGGTGACAACTTGCTTTTCCGGGTGCTATTTCCCAGGCGTACTTTGCAAAGGGATTATCCCGACTATCAGGTTCCCCCCAAGACGGGCTCGGCCTTGTGCCATCAGGTGGCCCTCGCTGTGGGTCCATGCCCTCCAACTGAGCTGCCTGGGTGCCAAATAAAACAGGGCTGGCATGCGGGGACAGCCTGGTTGGCCAGGTTTGGCCCCGCGTGGTCCTGTTCTGGGATACAGGGCAGCGACTGCTCTGGGCTGTGTTTTGCCCTGCTCCAGCTCCTGCAGTGTCATGAGCTTTCCCCCACGCAGCTCAGCCTGGGGTCCTGGGCACCAATACATGGTTCTGCTTTTGGACCGTGCAGGTGGCAGGAACAAATGAGCATGGATGGGACTGGGTTGAAACCCTTGCCACAACTGTGGGCTGACACCGGGTAGATGCCCAGAGTGCCCGGGCCCACACACGCCCAGCCAGGCGCCCAGCAGTCACTGCCCGGCTCTCCAGGCAGCAGCTGCTGAGGGGGCAGCCAAGGCCGCTCCCTGGTGCCGGCTGCTGCAGAGAGCTCCCGTCGGGCGTATTCCTGAGCTCGCTGCCGCACAACGCGCCAGCTGCCAAGCCAGGGTGGGTGCCTGCGAAGGCCGAGCATGCCTGGGCCTGCTCCCGGAGTTCCCCTGGACGGGCAGTGCCTGGAGACTCTCCCGCTTGCTGTGCATCTCAGCACGAGGGAGGGTTGCATGAGGCTAGTGCTGCCTCTGCCTCGGAGATCTCAAACCAGCTCAGGAGACATTGCAGCATCTCCCAGCGTGGGCAGGAGGCAGGTAGGGCAGCACACCCCTCCACTGGCAGGGTGCAGGGACCACTCCAAGCCCTGGCGCCTGCTTCCCACCACTGCTGAATGAGCAGCACGGTGCCCTGTGAGCCTCTGCACAGCATGACTGGTCCCACGCTGGCCTTGCACGAGCCCCTTCACAACCCACGTGGCCCTCCATGGGGTGGGGGGGTTACAAGCCCATGGTCCCTCCCTGGTGTCCATGTCAGGGTGGCACGTGCTGGCTGGGCCTGTGGCTGTGTGTTTCGGGTCCAGAAGCGTTGCTAGGCTGGGCAGCCAGAGCCAGGAGGTCCTGGGGAAAGCCTGTGGCTGCTGGAGGAGATGGAGGACACTGTGAAGGTGCTGGGGGAGGGAGGGAGAGAGAGGCAATGGCCGAGCTCAGGATGGGCATTGCTTGTCCCTGCCGTGCATGGGCCTCCCTTGGGCTGTGGGACACTAATGCACTCTCCCTTCCCTCTGCAGGACAGACGCAGCTCCCTCCCCGCCTCCCCCACCTGTGTGCCACGGTTGGTGCCCCGCATGGGCAGCCTCGACGGCTGGCTGAGCCCAAGCCTGCTACCGGAGCCCGAGGACAGCCTGGCCGAGCTCCGCCATCTCACCAGCCCCCCGCCTCCCCCCATGTCGCCGGCTTGGAGCGACAGGTCCCTGTCCCCACTGCGGCAGGAGCCCGACCTCAAGGCCAGCCGGCAAATGCAAGCACGCCTGGCCAGGAACATCATCAATGCTGCCCGCAGGAAGAGCTCGTCGCCCAAAGCGCCGGGCACCGAGGGCATCCAGCCCTTTGTGCCCCCCGCCAGGAGTGCTGGCAGCCCCTGCCCGAGCCCGCTGCAATCCCTGAGGCTGGAGGGACCCAGACAGGGCAGCACCGGGACCCCGGGGGCCTGGTCCCCAACCGAACGGAGCCCGCTTCAGTCCCCGAGAGCAGCCCGCGGCGCCAGGGCTGGCGCATCCAGCAGCCACGGAAACTCCCTGCCAGCTCCCAAAGCCACGTGGACGGATGGCCACAGGGTCTTCGTGCCTCCCCACAGTGCCGGGGGGCTCCCAGCCAGCACTTCCACTTGCCCTAGCCCTGGGAGCCTCGTTGCCTCCTCTCTGCTCTTCAAGACCCCCCCGGTGGGGACGCGGTCCCCTGCGAAACCCTACGCCTCGCGCTCGCCGACGGACTCTGACGTCTCCCTCGACTCGGAAGACTCCGGGGCCAAGTCCCCTGGCATCCGCAGCTTCAACATCTGTCCGCGGGGCTGGAACGGGAGCCTGCGGCTGAAGCGGGCGAGCTTGCCCTCTGAGGCTCCCTGCACTTCCTAGGCTGGGGGAGGGCGGGGGAGGATGGAGCTGCAGAGCACAGAGACTTGGCCACCGAGCCCAGGCGGTGAAATGGGGTCGGCGGGGCCCTACCCAGCAAACTGAACCTTTTCAGCACCTCTGTCCCAGCCTGCTGCTCGCTGGAGGCTTCGACCAAGGCAGAGACCTCATCCCCAGGCAGGACAGACCTGTTGGCTCACAACCGCCAGCCCTAGGACTTTGCTGGCTCCACAGAGCTGCCCCAGCACGAGGTTTGCTCTCCTGGATGTTGATCGGAGCCAGCAATAGTGGCTGAGCCTGAGTGGGACTGGAGAACTCCAGGCTGGGTTTGCTTGTGCCTGGCAGACCCCAGGGAGAAGGCACCAGCCCCCAGGGGCGCTGAGACTGCCCTGCCTAATGCAGCCTGCCGGTCCCGACCTTTCCGGCTCCCTGCCTGGCTGTGCCCTTGATGAAGGCTGCTGTGTGCTCCGGCCCCCTGGGCCCGGCTCTTTCCCCGGTGGCTGGGAGCCTGGTGCGTGCCTGGAGCACAGAGCTGAGGGGGCTGAAGTCAAGACGGCCCCACTGCCTCTCCCGGGAGCTGCAGGACTCATGCTCCGCTCCCGACCTGCTCCGGAGATGCGGCTTCCCCGTACTGCTGCGGAGAGCTACGTGGTCCCAGAGATGCTGGTGGCCCCGTGATGTGGGCATAGGGCATGTGGACTGCACCCTCCCCATCCTGCTGCTGCCAGCTCCCCCAGCTGGCACCCACTCCAGCCCCGGTGAGGCTGGGAGATCTGTAGCTGCACCGGGCATGCACTGACCCCTTGAGCCATAGCTCCCTTCTGGGCACCAGTGACTCTAATCCACGCGGAGGGAAGAGAGGCCGGGTGGCTGGGAGCGGAGGATCCTGTGCCCTGCAGGGTGAAAGAGCTGGACCTCTCGGTGACATGGTCCTGGCCAAGACAGGACTCACTCTCTCCCCGCTGCCCTTGATCTGCACTCGCTGGACTCCAGGGGCTTTGCAGACCACCGGGAAGGAGCCCAGGGTGCAGGGGAGGCGGAGGAGCTGACCAGCTATGAGGCCCCTAGAGGAAGTCACCTTGGGGATTCCCGGGGGGTGTCCTTCCCCCCCACCAGCTCACCTCGCTCTTGTGGCTCGCAGCCCGCAGTGTGATTGGCAGGGAGCACGGGGCACATCAGATGCTCCTTAGCTCTGGCTATTTTTGTCACCCTAACCTTTAAAGGCAGGAGTCAGCGACCCTCCACCAAGATCCCGGGTGCCGGCGGCTCTGTCCTCACCTGTGCAGAGTCCGCTGCCTTCCCCAGCCCCCTGTGGGGTAGGGGCCACGTCCTCCTGACCTCCCAGCCCCAGCTGCTGCCCTGGCACAGACTTGGCTGCACAGGCACCAGGGACAGCACAAGGGCTTGCTGGAGACTGAGGCCATCCTGGGTCCAGACCTATCCCAGTGGATGCATATGCATCCCTTGGCACCCAGCCAGGCTGCACCTGGGACCCCCACACCCCCAGGCCTCTGCTAGTGAAGCAAGACATCGTGGCTTTGTGAGAGGCAGGGGCATCACATACAATGTCTTGGTATCTGTTGTGACCCGTGCAGGGTGACAGGCAGGGAAAGCAGGTCCCACCGGGTGTCCTCATCCCCTGGAAATGCACGTATAGGGGTGGGACGCAGTGGGTCCCCCAGGAGCTGAGTTGGGGGACTTGCTCGAGTCCTTGAGCACCGCAGGTCCAATGCTTCCAGCCAAGCACAATTATTTAAGGGGAAGAAATCGCTCTTTCCACCCCGCTGGTCTGGAGAAGGCTTTGCTGCCTTCCGTATTTTCCCTGTAGTGTCAGAGAGGAAGAAAACAGGAGAAACGCGAGAGGAGGTTCACTTCTTCATCCCATGCCGACCAGCAAGGTGGCAGAATACTGGCCCAGACCCTGCTCCATGGGCGGTTGGGTTTCTTGGAAATGTCCTGGGTGAATATGGATCCTCAGGGCAGAGGGAGCTTTGCTGTCCAGGAGCAGGAGCTGGGGTGAGTTGCTGGGACTTGGGAAGGGAATGGAGCTGGGGGCCTAGAAGCCACACGACCCTGCTGGTGGCATGGGAATGAGGAGGCTAGGACAGTGCTTTTTTCCAGGGCCATGGGCATAGTCACACAGGAGCCATGCAGCCACTGATGCCAAGGCTGGTCTGGCATTGTCCTCCTGCCAACCAGTGCTGCCCTGGCCCCCGTGCTGGGTCAACATGAATGCTGGTAGGGGTAAAACTAGCCCCTGCACCATAGGGAACTCCCCTGGCAGCCGTGCTTCCTGCAGAAACCCCTCGCCAGCCTCTCCAGGTACAGGCCCGCTTGGCACACGACGCTGCCCTCTGCACATACATGTACGCACACATGTTCTGCTTGGACATGGCTCGGACACGCTGCCGGCAGGGATCCATGCAACTGGGGATGCTCTGCAGAGGCTGGAGCATTTCCAGGCTGCCCAGAGTCCCTGTGGGACCGGCCTGCTGGGAGCGCTCCTTCTTGGGGACCTCAGCAAGCCCCCCAGCTTGCAGCAGGCTGCCACCGCCTTGCGTGTCGCCACACTATTGTATACTGAGCTCAGAAATAAACCTGGCATTATCCCAGCCTGCTTGTGCTCTTTCTAGCCTGCCTAGGGCATCAGCTTGCAGGGGTGGGCATATTGGCGAGCCCGGAGAGACACACATGGACACACACACAGCAGTGCAGTGCGTCACTGGCACAAGGTAAAGTGGCAGGGGAGTGAAGACGTCTTTGGGGCTTAATGCATTTCAGTTTGGGCCACAGCAGCTTGTGGAGGGGGGGACCTGAAAGTCCCTGGGCTTCAGCGTTTGGGTGTTAGGGGGATCTTTCCTTACCCAGCTCCCTGCCTTCTCTTGGGACTGGTGTATTGTCAGTAGCTCTTCCTCCCCTCTCCCTAGGAGAGAGGCCTCAGGCAGTGATATGGGCTGCAATGGGAGCTGTGTAATGACCTTTACCAGAGGCGGCTGAAGGCGGGTTGGGCAGAAGCAAGGAGCTTGGAAGAGCCTCTGAGCAGTGGACAACACAGCCTGCTAGTTGTGGTGGACGGAGCCCAACAGCCCCAGACCCTGCAGTGACCAAGACTCACCACCAGGGGGCAGCCGCGGTGAATGACTAGCACCAAGACCTACACACACTGGGCTGTCTTGCACGTGCACGCACACACATACAAGTACACTTTCTCTGGGCTGAGTCTTGCACATATGCACGCGCACACATATGCATACTCACTCTGGGCTGACTCTCATGAACATGCACCCACACACACACACAGTCTCATCCCTGGGAGTTTGTGCCCTTCATTTTCCCTGTACTCAGCGCATTGCCTCTGTCATGCCCTGGAAGACAGGCCCTGGCAGGTCTTAGACACCCAGGAATAGAGCTCCAGCACCAGGCATCTGGGGTCATGATCCCATCCTCTGGTCCCCAGGACGTGGCACACACAGGGGCACCGCACAGCCCCACGGCAGCCCTCAGCTCATATGCAGGTCCAGTCCAGAGCAAGGCCATGGGCTAACCCTGTCTGTCTGGTGTGCACACGCCTCCTCATGCGTGTCCAGCATTGCCACCACATTCAACCTTGGCCAAGGAGCTGGGAGTGCCCAGGGCTGTGGGAGCAGTGATTGGGTCTCTGCCTGCCTGCACTGCATGGAGGGGTGGGGGGAAGTGGAGCTGGTCTGGGCACAGACTGGTGGGTGGGTGTGACAGAGAAAGAGCATCTACGTGCCACCTGAGCTGCCCCTTAACACCATCACACTGGGTTCTGCAGTGTGTGGGCAAGTGTGTGGGCATATAGGCATGTGTGATGTGCATGTTGCATGCTTCTCTGTACGTGGCATACGTCTAGAGGGTTATGTAAATGCAGCGTGTGTGTGTGTAAATGCATGCCTCTGTGCATGCATGTGTAAATGCACACATCGGTATGTGTGTAGATACCCTGGTGATTGGATGTGCATGTATATGTGAAAATGCACACATGGCATGTGTGTGAGAATGCGTGCACTGAAGAAAGAGAGGGATTGAGAGTGTGCGTGTGTAAATGCATGCAGTAGTGTGTGCAGGTGTGAGTGCATGCACAGGTGTGTGCATGTGTACATGAACTGGAGTGCCTGTGCACACACCTCCCGTGTCTTGGGAGCTGAAGCACCATCTGCTGAGAGCCTCAGGGCACACCAAGTGCCTGCTCTGCCCCCGCCTCCTTTCCCAGACAGAAATAGCAGGACCGAGCTGTAACGGGGACGAGTCCCTTGGACTCTCCACTCCTGTCCTGCTTGGAAGAGTGGCATAGAGAGGGCTGAGGTGTGGGGCCACAGAGCCGCTGAGTGGGGTTTGTGCAAGCCGAGCCGAGGCCTGAGTCCCGTGCAGCACTGCCGTGGGAACGCGCCCTTCCTTCCCTGGTGAGGTAGGTGACTGCAGCAGGGGTGTTGCTCTCTTCTGCACTGAGTCCCCTGGCACAGTCCCGGGGGGCCAGGGGTGCTGGAGACCGGAGCCTGCAGGACACGGCACCACACAGTCTGGCATGTCAATGGCATCCAGGATTGGCCCGTCCTGGTCAGACCCAAGGAGGGGCCTTTCGCTGAGGGCTGGGGGTGATGTCTGAGCAAGTGGATGAGACACCAGCAGGGGCAGTCACACCTATGGGGGGCTTCAGCAAGGGCTGGGGGTGTCTGGGGACTCTCAAGGCCTCTCACAGACAGCAGCTCCGGAGAATCCCCCCAGATGCCTCCAGCCATGGCTGCGGGGAGCCAGGATCTCCCCTTAAGTCCTCTGCAGGGGGTGCATGGGAGGAGGAATAGCCCCCATCATCCCAGCAACTCCAGCCCCTGCTCAGCTCCACCCTGTCAAAGCTGGCAGGGGGCTGATGGGCAGCAGCAGGGGTCTGGCTCCCCAGTCAGTGATTGCACCCAACCTGGCTGCAATCACTGCACCCCAACCCCCAGGAGCAAGGTTGCGGTGCCCAGGCCACTTAGGTCAGCGGCTTAAAATAGCACCAAGCTATTAAGACAGCACAGGGCAAAGCCCTGGCTATGGGGGATCAGGCAGCACAGGGCAGGGGGCTGAGTGGGGCTGGGGCTGGAGCATTTCTGCAGGCCATGTGGCCTGGGTACGGGCACGTGCAGGAGATGGCGACAAGCTCTGCTGTCCAAAGTGCCTAGATGGTGCTTGCCCGAGGCTGGCGCACGGAGCATGGGTGAAGGACAGTGCTCTTGTAGAGGCCAGAGGGCTGCGATGGTGCAAGCACTGCAGCACTGGGACTGTAGACAGCAAGACCCCGGTGCTGCTTATGCTCCCAGCCCTGCAGGCATCTTGTGGGATGCTTGAATTGGGCATAAGCAACCCCCCTCCTGATATGCCAGCCTGTGGGGTGTGTGGCTGCTGGGAAGAAGCCAAGCAGCAGTTCAACATCAAGGCACAGAGATTTGTACCTGAGCTTTGCAGTTGGAGGCCAGGCTGATGCCACCATGCCATTCAGGGGGCATCAGAGCGGGTGTGGCGGGTCAGAAAGCAGCTCCCTGCCTCGATATACAACAGGGCGCCTTGCTGCAGAGTCACAGCCCAGGAGGAGTGGCAGCCAGAGATGCCGGGTGGGCGTCGGAGCCGTTACAGACACCTATGGGGGTGCAGCCCAGGAGGAAGCAGGCTCAGCCTCCAGGCCCCCTAGATGCCCTGTGTCCAGGACAGGATGGGTGTGGGGGACAGAGGGGCTAACCACAGCCAGTACCATCCCTAATGGGCTCCGCTCTTGTTTTCCAGCCAGGCAGACGACACCCATCTCGGAGCCAAAGCAGAAGAGGCAGGCCATGATCGTGAGGGAGAGCCCAGGGGATGGTAAGAGGTGTCACCAAGCAGTCTCTGGGGGGCTGCTCCCTTTGGTGGCTGACCCGGGGTGTGGGGCTGAGTCTGCTCCCAGCCCAGTGGGGTGCCAGGCCTCTGGGCTCACCTGTTCAGGTGGTCCGAGCTAATGAACAGCTAAGGCAGAACATGCGTGATGTGCTCTCATGCCCCCCCTCCTGCAATGCGGCCCATCTCCACCCAGCACACTCTCCCCCTCTTCCATCCTTGAACTTGGGACCCCCCACCACTACCACTACGCTCAGCTGGTGCTCATGGCCCTGCTCTGTGCATGTGTCCTCAGCCCCACACCTGGACCTGGGCAAGAAGGTCAGCATCCCCCAGGACCTGATGATGGAGGAGCTGTCCCTGAAGACCAACAGGGGCTCCCGGCTCTATCAGGAGAGGCAAAAGCGGATGCAGCGCTTCGTGCTGGAGCATCCCAGAGGCTACAGAGGCGTGAGTTGCCCCGTCACCAAGAAAACCCATTCCTAGGCAGGCAGTGCTAGGCTGAGATGCTCTGGAGGGCTGGATACAGGGATCCCAGTGCCCAAAAGAAGCCCCCTCAGCTGCCTGTAGCATATGCTCTAAAAGAAAGTCGTGTGAAGCTGTGGGGGGGGCTGGTGGCCAAGGGCATGGGAGCCCTGAGGATGGGCAGGGCTATGCCAGGACGATGCACTGGATGGCCACAAAAGTGCCTGGAAACTGGGCTTTGAGGGCACTAGGGCTGCCGACATTCAGGCTGTCTGCCGAAGGCTGGGGGTCTTGCGGGGGCACAATGCCCCTCCCAATGCCTGACACCCTTCTCCTTGCCCTCTGCAGGGTTCTGGCAGGATGGGGGCCAGCGGCTCGCACAGCGCATCAGGGGGAGCAGCCAATGCATGGTTGGTGAGTGATGCCCACTAACAGAGAGGGCGGAGATGGCTTGGACCTGGGGGAAGGACAAGGGTGTCGTGCCCCCATCTCTGAGTGGGGGACACTAAGCAGACCCCCCAGTGCCGCTCTGCAGCCATATCCCCTTGCTCTCTCCCCTCCCAAGGCTGCCAATAGTATGGAGGGCACTGGCACCTACCACACGGAGCTGCACATTGCGCCAGCAGCCAAGGGGGCTCCGCCGCAAGTGCCCAAGAAGAGCAGCAGGGTCCTGCAGATGAGCAAAGTCCTCAACCCTGACAACCTGGCCCCAGGTAAGGTGCTGCCTGCAGATGCTCGCTCCACCATGGAGCAAACCCCCGGGCAGGAAGGCCTACCTGTCCGTGGAGGAGACCTGGCTTGCCTGTCACCCGGGGTTCTCTGGTGCACGGCAGGATCTATTTGCTCTGGGTCTGACCTGGTTTATGGCCATTGAGGCAGCAGGTGATGCAATTCCCCTGGCTGGTAGAGGGGAATAGGCTCCCAGCCTCCAGATCTGCCTGGGAAGCACCACGCCCTATCCCTAGATTTCCCAGTTGCATAGAAAGCAACCTGAATTGTCCAGTATTGGAGCAAACTCAACCCTGAGAGAACAGAACAAGGCCCATGACAGGTGCATGTCATTTGTCTCAATAATGGCTTCCTCACCGGCTCTGCCGCTCACCCAGCTCTGCCTCCGCCAGGATGGGACAGAGAACACAGTCTCCCTTTACAGCTGGGGACTTTAGGAAGGGTGGGCAGGGGGAAGGCGATGTCTCAGGCCCCTCTGATGGTAACGACAGCTGTCTTCCCTCACAAACACAGGCTACACTGGCCCCCTGAAGGAAGTGCCCCCCGAGAAGTTCAACTTCACTGCCATCCCCAAGGCCTACCACTCCCCTTGGCAGGAGTTCCTCAGCAGCAAAGACTACCAGGCGGATAGCAAGAGCCAGCTGTCCGAAACGCCCAAGAACCTCAGTAACTTGGATTTCAGGAGCTTCAACAGGTAATGGGCACCTGATGCCCAGGGGGAAGCTGGCAGTGCTGAGCATAGCAAGGATTCAACCGGAGTCTGAGAAGGTGATGCCTGCAGGGACCTGCTACTTGCTGCATCCCTTGCAGAGCCCTGCCAGACTCTAGGTCTATCAACCCTAGGAAAGGGTGAGCACCTCCTTGGTCCTTCTCACAGCTGCCTGGCAGTGGCAGTGCCTATGGGCCCCAGTGGGTGCTTCCTCAAAGAAGGGGGTGGGGGACAGGGGAAACAAGATGCTTCAGGGGTGCATGGGAGACCTTCAAAGTGATCCTCAGAGATGAGGAGGGACTGGTGCCTTCTTCAAACACCACGAAGGAGCACCCTCAATGAGATGACCCAAGCTTGGCTCTTTCTTCCCTTTTAACTATAGGGAGAATAGGATGGGATTCAACACTGACAAGTGCAAGGTGCTGCACTTGGGGAGGAAGAACCAGCAC